ATCAATTATCACTTAATTAAACTTTATTATGACTACCACCCACCTAGTCAATCTAACAGATCCATCTTCACACCCTGTTGCAATCCAACTATCAGCTTTTGTTTCCGCAGAGATGAAACATAAGGAATGTAATTCTCTTCCATGAAATTGTGTATGCAAATTCAGAGGAAATACTTTGGTCTTTTCTTTTCCAACCCAGTGTCTATGAATATGAATGACATCATCCTATGAAAGAGACAGGTTTACGATCAGTCAAAGACCAAACGTTAATACACAACTTTCATCTAGAGAATAAAGATGCACCTTCACGTAAGCAAAACAGTTTTGCAGCTCAGGGATGTCCCCAAGATAAAAAGAGTGGGGACGACGCCATCCACCACATGAGATCTGTGCAACCTGTTGTCATAAGAAGTTCAGAGTATTATTACAGCTCGGATGTAAAAAGGTCATAAATTGAGAAGCCAGAGGTGGACCTTTGTTTCAGTTGTTAAGTTCCACAATATAAAATCCGTTGACGAAAATCCAGCGGCATATTCATTGTTCGGATGGTCTTTGGAAAAGTGCATGCCTTGGCAAACTGATTGAACTAAGCTCATCTCTTTCAGTTGTTTCAACCCCATAAACTCTAAAGCCTGCCTCTCTCTGTCATATTCAAAATAGCATATGCAACCGTCTGCTCCAGTCTGAAAATGAGATTTAGAAAAGGGACGAATCAACGAAACAAGATGATTGTCCACGTGACAAGAAAATGAAAGTAAATATTTCATAAATTTATTTATCCTGATAAACCAAGCAAGCACCAAGAGCAGAAGATAACAAGCATAAATAAATTAGCCATACCGAGGATATCTCAGCTTTGTTGGAAGTTAATTTGACCACTGAAAGACTGGAAACAGTTGAAATCCCATGGGCAGCTTTGAAATAGTTAGACGAAGGTATCTTCAGTTCTGGAGAAACAGAAACCCCGTTCAGCATATCCTTTGAAAGAGGAAAGAGTGTAATATTGCCACGTAAATCTCCACACACAAGCACCTGCAAGCAACAATCATGTCAATACCAGTGTTCTAAATTTCAAAAGTCTAACACAACTCTTGGATGCAAACTTATAGACAACATATGTGGAATAGTTTGGCCATAACTAATGGTTGTGCTATTAGCTCTTCATTTAGTTGAATTGGTGTAGAGAGGAAAAGGAAATCAATATAACACCGAAACATAGCAGTAACAGCAACGAATACTACCTCATCTTCAGCTGATGCATCTACACACATTATTCGCATTCCAAAACAAGAGGAGAATTCGGCCACGAGGGAGATACCATCAGTTTTAGAAGCTAAAGGATCAGATAGTCTCCACATCTTCAACAGTCCTCTAGGATTGCAAGAACAAACAAACCTGGAAGCCAGACACTGAACTGTTATCTCATAACATTTCCCACCAAATGATTCCAAATGTTGTCAGAGAAAATTATTCAAATGATTCATGAGATAGGTCAATTAACCTTTCTATCAACAAGAGTATTTACCTATATCCTAATGATTTGCACCAGAAGGTTCCCAGAAGTTGTCTCTCTGGGCTAGCTTTCCAAGTTTGGTTTGATCCCGCACGTGGGTTATAAATATCACCCATAACTCGAACAATTGTCATATTTCCTTTGCCATCTCCAAGAGCAACCCAATCATCTAATGCACAAGACTCGTGTACCTTTCCTCCAGGCAAAACATCCATGGCAATAATAGGCCCTTCTTCAGGTATCCGAACTAGCTCAGTCCACGTTACATTTCCAGATGGCAATAATCTTGCATGGTATAAGCACCCATGGTTTGTGGCCACATACATGGTATCTTCCTGCGTAAACTGCAAACAGCGTACATACTCACTCTTGCTGCAACGGGAAAACAATCATATTTACAATTATACACAAGAAAAAGAAAATCCAGACATTTATTTACAGTTTTAAAACCGCCCTCTTCCTTACTTACATAAAAAGCTACATTTACAGGAACATGAATCCAAATTAACATATGCATTTAACCTCAACATTTCTAAACATTACTACCATAGTACCATTCATGTTCAAAGTCAACAGTCTTATGTATTCATTTGGTGTAGTACCTAAAACGCCAATTCTGTAGACTCTAAAATCTTGTGAGGACACATGTACTACCTGTCCATGCGACCAGTAAGCTGCGGTGCATTTGGAAGACGGGTTGAAAAAGATTCCACTTTATCTTGTGAATCAAGCACTCCTACAGTATCCAACAAGATTTCAGACCCACAATTATGCAATTGATGCACTTTAATTGCGGAGTCAAATCCAGCAGTAACAAGAAGGGATGAGTTCGGATCATACAAACATCTCCATATGCCTCTCCCGCTGTATGGTAAACAATGGCTCTTCATCAGTAATAACATAAAAGCTAGAAGTAAGTAGTGTGATCGACCAAAACACCATGACACCACTTACATATGTTCCTTTATCACTTCCAGCTGCGTACCATCCATGCCCCAGATACGGCATGTACAATCCTCACCAGCAGTGACAATCAACTAAAACAGAAAGACATCCAAATTCAATAACCTATAAGTTGAAATTCTAATGTGCTCATCAATCGTTTATCATCATTGGTATGAACAGATTTATACCTACAAAACCTATACTCAAAAGTTAGAACGGTGAAAGCCTTTATACAATAGAATTTTGGGCTGATAATTTTTCTCACCGCAAGAAGCGCTGAAATTCACACACTATGATTTTAAGCTCTTAGCATAATACTCAAATGAATGCAGAAAGTTCAAATAAAGTTACAAAACTAAACAGTAAGTCAAAGAAATTTGAGGTACATACAGAGTCCGATATGCAGCAGTCCCAAACCCTCACACTGTGACCAAACAGCACAGGGCCAATGACCTCCTGCGAATCAATTTCCCATATCCTAGCACTGTAAAAGCAAACATAAATACGCCGTTAGACACAAGAACAAAAGGACTCATGAAAACTGAAATGTTTATCAAAACTCAAAACAAATGTTCACCTACGATCATCAGAGACGGAGACTAGTTTAGATCCATCCAAAGACCACACAATGCGAAATATTGAACCCTCATGACCAGCGAGTCTAAGCATATGGGAAGCACAATATTCCCCAATGCCTAAGTTGTCATCATCAAGACCAGCAGCCCTCCAAACAATGATCTGCCAACAAGAAGTCCATTCCACTTACTTATACTACCTCAGACACCAAAACAGAATCGAGAAATCGCAGCAAGACTAAATAAAGAACCAGCGGTAAGCAGCTTTAACTTGGGAAAAAAACAAACAAAAAAAGCTAGCCTACCTCATTAAAAATAGTACCAGAAGCGATACGGAGCGTCGAAATACTATTGCCCCATAATCGCATTGTATAAAGTAGACACCTTTCTGCAAAACCAAAAAAGTACACTTTAGTATAAAATAGCTCCACTGTTCAAAAGCTCTAAAATGAATCTTCAAAACTAACCTGGTGACTGAATCTCAAAAGCCATACGCGACTCTTTAACATCCCAAACACACACAGAGTTATCACTGCACCCAATAGCTACCAGCTTATCTCCTTCTTCCTCCAACGAATCAGAAGAGTCCTATCATCACAACAACAAACACACTCATCAAGATCACGTAAAATTACAAAACCAAGCTAACACCAAATGAAATGGAGAGTCTATAGAGTCCTAACCTGCAAGAAACAAACGTCAAATACCCAATTACTAAGCCTCGGCAAAGACTCAACCACTTCCAAATCCACAGAGACATCACCAGCACGACTCGAACTTAACTCAACAACCAACGCAAAGATCTTCACTTTCTTCTCTCCGAACACAACAAGCTTATACGTGTATCTATCACCGGAACGAACAAAGCTTCCGCTACAAACAGTTCCGTGGACGCGAACTCCTTCAAACACTTGGAACGAGCGAATCAGCTCCCCGGAGGCCAATTCGTAAAGCAGAATCTCCGAGCCAGATCCTAATTTCAAAAATTGAAACCCTAATTACATCGAAAACTAATTGAATTTGGAGAATGAGTGTTTCGCTCACCGGCGAGAAGATAAGGAATAGGGGAAACGTGTTGCGGGAGATTGAGGAAAGATAAGGAAGAGACTTCTCCGAGATATGGACCGGCACGAGGGTTCCACGTGCCGCGGGTGTTATCTTTCGCCATGGCTTTTTGCTTTCACTAGTGTGCGGCGGCTCTCCGACTTTGAGTTCAAAGGTTTTAGAGGTAACAGAAACTCTCTCACTAGTCAAACCTGCGAAACAAGTCAACGAATCATTTGGGCTATAGTGCGAGTGGAGGGGACAAATGGGCTTGAAATTTGAAATGAATATAATTGGGCTGAAAATACGTATAGGCTAAGAGCGGTTTGTGTGTGGAGGGACCCAATGGGCTTCAATTAAAAAAAATATATAAAATAATATGCGGTGAGCGTGGATCGAACACGCGACCTTCAGATCTTCAGTCTGACGCTCTCCCAACTGAGCTATCCCCGCTTTTGTTTATTATTGTAAGTCGTAATATATATATAATATTCACTAAACCATTTACAGTGATCCAAAGGAAGAATAAGGGAGATTAGGAGGGAGGAATGACTTTTTGGTTTGCCGCAAGATAGAGTTGTATAGATAGGTAGTAAAAGCAGAGTTTTAACTTTTAAAACTCAGAAAAGATACACTTGGATGTAAAAATGATGTTTTTTTAAAAAAAATTTAATTTTACATTCCATTCAAGAAGAAAAGAAAAAGAAAAAAATGTGTGAAAGGAACAAAATGATACATGACGTTGGTGCGTTACATAGGATCTTTATTAATGCTGGCCCATTAATCTTCAGCCCATCTAATTTCAAAAAACCAAAACTGAAACGAGTTTCAACCTGTTGAAACAAAACACGTGGCATAACCAAAACAAGAAACAAACTACTCTGCCTTTCATACTCCAACGCCACGTTCTTTCCATTTCTCTCGCCGTTAAAACATAAACCACACAGAAAAAAACACGACGACCAACCAACAACAACAACAAGAAAAATGTCCGCGACGGCGATTTTCTCTCTAACGAACTCTAATGCCGTCTCCACCGTATTCAGCAATCGTAAACTCCATTGCAGGAACTCTGTAGCTAAACCCACTTCGAGATATTCACCATCTTCTTCTTCTCTTGCTTCTCGATTCTCCCCATTGATTTCACCAACTAGGTCCTTCACCACTTCTGTATTCAAGAGATTCAACACTCTCATGGAGTGGCAAGAATGCAAGTAAGTGGATTCATCTTCCCACATCCAAAGGAATTAGCTTTATAAAAATTGAACCTTTTTTTTGTGTCTGAGTCTGAATTTTCAGAGTGAAGAAGAAGGTGGACGTGCCTGTATCAGTTGCATACGGTCTCTACTCCGACCGAGAATCGATTCCTAGGTGGATGACTTTCATTTCCTCCGTAAAGGTCTTCACTTTCTCTCTTTGTTTTGTTGGGTTTGCTACTGAATATTGAAACGCCGTCGTTTTGTTTTGTGTGTTGATGTTCTGTTTTTTTGTTGCAGGTACTCAAGGACAAATCAGATTTGTCTCGGTGGACTTTGAAGTATTCAGCGTTTGGTCAGAATCTTGAGTACTCTTGGCTCGCTAGGAACTTGCAGGCAAGTGTAGCTTCAACACTCTTAGTTTTTGTTTTTTTGTAACAAGTATGCAACATGTTAGATGTTTAGATTCCACATAATTGTTTTCTAGTTTCTGTTTTCATTGCAGCCACTCCCGAACCAGAAAATACACTGGATTTCTCTAGAAGGCCTTCCCAACAGGTAAAACCGAATTCTAATGAATAAATCAGTCTAAAACTTCTTGAATCAAGCTTATGGTGAATACCTTGCCTTTTTAAACAGGGGCACGGTTCGGTTTTTCCCGCAAGGACCTTCATCATGCGAAGTAGAAGTGAGATTCCATTGCTGATATGTCATTCTCTTCTCTCAACTACCAGTTCATCAGTTCTTCTTTTGCTTTGTTTGCAGTTAACTTTTGCGTACGAAGTTCCACTGCTACTTATACCATTTGCAACAGTGAGTTTTCTTTGTTCCATTGTATCAATATTTCGATGGTTTAGAGAGTGAATCAACACAACTGAATGTGACTAATCATATCTTCTGGTAACATACAAAACCCCTAACTGTTATGTAACCATTGGTCTTTTGTTTTGGTTAGGCGCTTCAACCGCTGATGCAAGGAATGATTAAGGATAGTTTGGAGCTATTTGCAGAGATAGCAAAAAGCACAAAGACAACTTAGTTATACAACAAAACATCAAAAATTATCCAGATTACTGCATTGTTCTTACAAGGAATTTGCACAGAGACATCATTGTTGTGACGACAGAGTTACCATATTTATTTTTTTATACAGTAGTGTTCATAAACGACTTTATACACAACATTTTAGTCCAAAGACATGAGTTTGCCTGATCACAAACCAAAATGTAATTGTTGACCAATGAGTGACTATTTGGAATTTGGTTGTGGTTGAAGATGCCTCATTTTATTACTCATTCGATCACTAAAGTGTTACATTGCAATTGTAACTGTGTGTGAGTTGATAACACAAGGGATCATCAAGTCAAGAAGCTGAAGGTGAACTTGCCATTTATGAGTGTTAGCTTCTTAGCTTTGACGACTGCATCTAGTTTGAGGAAGAGGAACAAAGGTTCTGTCTGGAAAGTAGAAGTGAGGGAAGCTATTCACATCATCCACAGCTTCATATATCAATCCATCTCCAAGCTACAATTTACACATGAAACAACACACATAACATCAACAATGCCCATCCTAAGATCATGTTTTTGTTAGTTGGGTTTGTGTGTCCCTCTAATGCATTACAGTGGTACAGGAGAAACAGAAAGAACAAACACATAGTCTAGTGCACTGGCGAAGTCAGACAAAAGGTTCACCAGCGGCAATATAAATTTTGAACTTAAAATAAAGTTTTCAATCATCATGACCTGATTATAATAAGTAATCGATTTTCATAATTTGTTTTTCTTCTTCTTTTTTTTTTCCAATTTCTGATACATTTATTATTATGAATCTATCTTATTAAATTTGCAGTAACATTTTGATTTAACTCTCAACTCACCTAATTATTTACCACTAGGTGATTTTCCCGTGCTCATGCACGGACATAAATATTTATAAAATAAATATATTATAATAATTGATTGATATTTACTTGAAATTTTAAATTAATTTGTAGGTATAATTTATATTAATAATATTATATTAATTTAATTATATATAATTTTAGATATGTTATATTTCGTCAGTTTTACTGTTTTTATGGTTGATTTAGTTATCATTTGGATAGATTCTATCTATTTCTATAAACTCAACTATAATCTTTTTATTCTAAATATATAAAATTTTTGATTAATTTTCTTATTTGCATTTATGCCGGTTGTTATCTTAAAAATATAAATATATCAACTAAGATTATGTATAACTTAATTTTTTTGTGCTTAGAAAGAAAAAAATAAAAAAACTAAACTGTCTAATTCTAAATTATATTCATAACTAACTAATAAATATTTGGAAGCTTATGAATACATATCAGTATTTACAATATTTAGATTGATTGGATGGTAAACTAAAATTTATTTTAAATAGTTTTAAAAATAAGGATTCTGATTTGCTTAAGTATTTTGATTATGGTTATATTAAGTTCCACAAATAAAAAAAATAAATTAAAAATCAAAAGAGTTATTAAGAAAATATATAATTTAAATATTAAAATATAATATATATGCTTCTTTTTTAAAAAAATTATATAGTGTTATGATATTTTAAAATAATTTTATTTGATCAAAAAATGTTTATTATTAAATCTATTTTTAGTTTTATTTTAAATATCTCTTAAAATATGCAGTAAAAATGTTATTGTTTTTGAGAAATTATATTATATAAGTAAAATATAATTCATATTTTTTGCTGTAATTGTAAGATATATTAGTCAAATAAATATACTAAAAATAAAAAAAAAATATTTTGAAGAATACTAATTATAAAAACAATTTGTCAATTAAACATATATCAGTTTATGTTACTTAATTATTTTATGTAATCATCTAATAAAATAGATAGATATATAAAAAATAATTACTTTGAAAATATATATATTTATTGTTTAAAAAATTTTTTAAGAGAAAAAAATATTTCTTTTAATATCAATATTAGTTGTTTGAAATTTTTTTATGGAATCACATTATATACAAATATTGTTTTCATCTAAGAAGATATAGATATAAAGTATTTTATTATTTCAAAAGTATATTTTATGTTATTTAATATATATAAAAATTAAATATTACTATTTTGTGAACTTTTTTTTTATGAAACCATATTTATATATACTTATATTTTCATTTTTAAATAGTTTGTTAAACTTTATAAATGTTTCCTTTTGATTTTATATTGTTATTTAGAAAAAAAATTAAAAGGAAATAATAATATTTAAATGTATTTTTTAATTCATTAGGGGTATTATAGTAATCAACCAGCGTGAGAGTTAATGTGAGCGCGACACATAAGATAGTGATTGGTATTTGGAAAATTTTTAAAAGGAAATAATAATATTTAAATGTATTTTTTTAATTCATTAGAGGTATCATAGTAATCAACCAGTGTGAGAGTTAACGTGAGCGAAACACATAAAAAAAAAACTTCTCAAATAATATGAGAGAGATTCGTGCCACTAAGTTAGTAACTAAAAATTAATTTTCCTAATTTCAATTTTAATTATGATATATTTATTACTAAGGGATTGATTGGTAGAGCATTAGCATTATCATTATGCTCTCTATTATCCAATCAACATTTGTTAACGAAGCATTTAGAAAAGTATTTATTAAATGCAAATGCTCTCCAAATGCTATTTGCTCAATACTTTCGTATAGAGCTTTTGAGAGAGCATTTACTGATAAAATATATAAAATTTTAAAATAATTATATATAATTAATTTATTTTATTTTTAATAATATAAAATTTATTTTATAAATATTATTTCGACACTAATAAATAAATGATATAGCATATATTAATTTTTATGATAATTTTATATATGAATATCATTAAGTGCTCAAACAATAAATAAATAATAATAATAATAATAATTTATATATAAAATTATATATAATTTATTAATTTATTTAATAATATTAAAATATGTTTATATCCAAAAATAAATTTAATATTTTTAAAATAAATTTTACATTTTTTAAATATATTTTATATAATGATTAAGATTCTTTTTAATAAAAATCTATTATTAATATACATTATAAATATATAAATGTTACTTTAAAATAAATATATTATTATACTAACTATTATGATAATTTTAAATTGTATAATGATACTGTTCTGCCAATCACTTTATTCAAAATTTTAATGAACATACAGCTTTTACAGCATACTGCTTCCACAACATCTATACTATATAAAAGTTGAGGCTATAAGCCATTGAGAGCGTCCACATAGGATTTAAGTCCTCCAATCGTATAATGACACATCATTATATTAGTTTATTATTTTTAGAAAATGTCATTGTTTCCAAATTATATTAAAAACGAAATTAATATTCCATATATAACTTAGATAACAAAATAAATACTAACATTTTAAAAATTACTTAAAAATGTTAACTGTTATAAAAAAATGGAAATCAAAAATAAAAACGTAATGTTAAAAAAACATTATTGTCTTTTTAGATATACTAAATGTAAAGTATCATTTTTATAAAATGTCAATGTTTCCAAATTATATTAAAAACGAAATTAATATTCCATATATAATTTAACTAAAAAAATAAATATTAAAATTTTACAACTCACTTAAAAATGTTAACTGTTATAAAAAATGGAAAAAAAATATTGACAAAACATTATTGTCTTTTTATATATACTAAATATAAAGTATATTTTATACAAAAATAAAATAATAATCTAATAGTAAAATAGTAAAGTAACAAAAATCATCTTACAAAAATAAAATAAATTTAATTTTTTTTTAAATATCACTGTTTCCAAATTAGTTTAATTAAAAAAAAATATATATTATCTAATAAACTAGGTTATTAATATAGATTATTAGTTTTAAAATGTTAAGATTTCCAAATTTATATGTTAGGATTTCCAAATTTCTCTATATTAACATTAAATGGAATAAAGCAAATTATTAATATAAATTATTAGTTTTTAAATTGTCAAGATTTCCAAATTTAAATGTTTGGATTTCTAAAG